TCAGCTTCAGTTTTCACTCTTTCACTCTTTGAGTATCATCAAAAACTGTGTTCTCAAAGAACATTTTGACACCTAAACACTATAGTTAAACCTTTCCCAATAAAATACTGATTATGTGGAGAAAAGTGAGACTTGTATCACTATTGCATGGCTTGCTAATATAAATGAATCTACTCTTGTGATACAGCAAGGAGTGCTCTGATGTCTATTAGTGCAAATCAGAGTAACAATGCTGGCCAAAAGTGGAGAAGTTGACAGTTTTAGACAAGTGGCTTATCATCTATAAGGGACAAGTGCATCAGCTGCATCAGACACATGTGAAAAATATGCTCTGTTGTTATACACAAACAAACAAAAAGGCTGGGTTAATCTTGTTTTTAAGAAAAATTTAGTTGGGACAGAAGTTAGACACTTTTAATCAAACATTAAGTCAAACATTGCTGCCAAGTTTGCTGATATAGAAAAATGATAAGAAGGACTCCCATCATTACGTTGCCATTTTCAGGTATACACTCTCTTGACTAGATGTTGTGAAAAATCTTATACAGGATGAAATGATAAATAGTAAAATAGTAGAATCATGTTGAATAATGACGGTATTCTCATTGGGTTGTATTGTTTTGTTAGTCTTAATACATCAGAGGATGAGTTGGTTCATTTACAATAACGCTAACCTTTTACCTGCTAAGTAGCAGAGCAAACTAGTGCAACATTTTATGAAGTGTTACGAGGATTGAATGTTTATGTTTGGGTTTGTTGTGTTTTATCTTTTCTTGAAAAAACACTATGCTGTTGTTGACTATGTATACCAACCTGATCTTTTTAATGCAGATTTAAACAAAAAGTCAAAATCATTCATTTTAACCAAAAATATTTAATATCCAGTAATCTATTTTAGGGGTTATTCTTTTAAACCTAGACAAATAATTGCAATAGGATTGCTTTTAAACTCGGTACGGTATAGGAATGTAAATGTCTGATGTGCTTTTCATGTCTGGATGGAAAATAAAACAGATCTAAAGAGCATTGTAGCTGTGCTAGATAATAATAATAAGACATATTAATCTTTGTATTGTATAAAAGATGGCAAATGTATGACGACAACTATACATTTTAATGAGGAGTATAAAAAAATGGACCTCACCTGTGTAAGCATGACTTTATCTCATACAAGTTTGAAGCATTAAAAAAATAAGTCTGCATTATGGTAAATTTACATCAGTCCACTGAAAAGGGTGATTCCACCTCATTTAATCTATTGTATTAAAAAGATGTTCATGATCAATTTCTTAACAGTAACAACTTTGCAAAGCAATATACATTTCTATTTCTGTCTTAGCTATAGGAGGGAACCATCACTAAATAAGCACATACAGTATAAACTGCTGTTTGTGCTTGTTTAGGCAATTAACTGAAAGGATATGTGTCACCAAGCATCTATGCAGCAATGCCTACATACATACACACATGTTTTTCTGTTGGTTTATATTTTTATCATAAAGCTCTGTGTGAGAATAAAAATAGAAAATTGCTCCACACATCTATAAAAGGATTTGGAGAACCAAGGTCCAACTGGAAGTGACACTGATTTATTTGAGGTGTATTCTGTATTTCCAAATGTAAAGATTTCAAACTGTGTGATTTATAGTTACAGTTTTGCCTCCTCGACTTTGTTACTGCTGCTTCACTTTGTGTCATTAACAGATGTTTGAGGATGAAAGAATGAAAATGCACTGTAAAATGCAACAGTGAGAAACAAAATGAACCTGTTTTGATTTTGATGGCAAGCCCTATCAAATATTTCTGTGATTTTTAAGTGCAGCCTTTTACTACATAGACTCCCGAGGACATGATTTACTCAAGATCTTTCTTTGCATTTGTATGAAATAAATTTTGCAAGGCCGCTCCTTGCGCTGTGTCCCAGTGTCACACTGAATATATCTACATGAGTAATTCCAGACTGGAAAATTGAATAATGAACATGTAGCAATCAGAAATAATTCTTCCAGCACTCCTCAGACTCTGCAGGCCTTTAGAAATTTCTTCCCGAAGATGAAAAACTACCTGCTCGGTGAGCCCTGCCCCAATGCAAACAGATAAGTAATACCAAAGCAACTTAAGAGGACAGCACTTAAAGGTTTGTTTCTCCACAATGCCCCCGAAGAGGGTCGACCTGCCTGCTCCACTTCTCCCCTGACTGACAGTGCACTCCAGAGACGCCACGCCGCAGGACACGCGCGCTGATCCAGCCTGACACGCCTGACCTTTCCCGGGCCGCGCAGCTGACTTACCGTGCGCCGCACCCTGCTTGGCTGAAAAGGCCACGCGAGGCCACGCAAGGGATGCCATCGCAGCCTTCCTTCACCTCTTCTTGCTGCCACTGCAGGAGCCGGCAACTTGCATGTGTGAGGAAAGTCAATCTGAGGAGTGTTCACCCACAGTACAAGGGCAGGGTATCTGAATTGATATTGACATTCTGTTTGTATTCTCTCAGGGCAACCTCAAAGGTTTTTGTTGGCAGATTTCAACGCTTTCACTACTTATTAGAAAGTACAATGCTGCTATTGTCACTCTGACCAATTGTTTAGCTTAATGAACGTATTATTGGGCTAATGCTCATTTCAGAATCATAATACATAACGCTAATACTCCTTTCATTAAGCAAATCCCCCTCAAAAAAAAATTGTAAAAATAAAAAAAAATCCACCAAAAATAATGGCTGGCCAGAAAGGGAATCTAACTGCACTGTGTCTTGTTGAGAAGGAGAAGCCTCAGAATAGATGCTGCGGGAGGCCACTGAAGAACAAGCAGCGGGAGGATTGTAAGTGCAGAACAGATGCTGCAGCTGTGAAATGAAGAGCTGTCGCATCCAGCGAGCACTTCCCAGAGTACAGAAAACACTTGGCACAGCAGAAATAAATCATGTGCTTGCGTGCTTTGCTGGATGATTGTATTTTTTTTTTCTGAAAGAGGAAGGACATTCTCTGCAGTTCAGAAATCCAGCTTACGTTACGAGACGTTTTGGTCAGCGCTCTTTCCGTGTGCCGCGTGCATTTCTGGCACACTGAGTTTTTAATGTCCTTGTTTAATGAATAGCCTGGAAACCTAATGCTGCTTTGAAAATCCGTGAGCTCAGACGTGCTTACTGCGCTGAAAAACAGACACGTGGACATATAGCATGTATAGTATGTCGCTTGTGCACTCATTGCTATGTGCCTCTTTGCATCTCTTTTGTGCCAGTAATTGCAAGTGTCTGCAGCGGATTCGACAGTCTAAAATAGACCCAGTGAATTTTAAATTATCTTCATTGCTTTTTCTCTCAGATAACATCAAGCTTGTGCGGTAATTGTAATTTGAAGCAAATCACTAGCTGAGATGGCAAACAAATCAAGATTTTGATTAAAAAAAAAAGACAATTTAATTAATTTTCTACACCAAAAAGACACCTTTAGGCAATGTATGGACAGCGGTAAAGGTCAGCAAGGAGTGGGAACTTTTAGACATTTTGTCACCTTACAACAAGAAACATCAAACTGTTTTGTTTGGACTTTGCAGGCCAACACAATATAGTGCATTATTCTGAAATGGATTAAAATAGAAACATGGTGATCAAGCATTTACAAGTATATTTTGCTGCAATTACAGCTGCAAAGCTTTTGAAGTATGCCTCTACTAGGTTTGCATATGTAGATATTGTGATTTTTTATCATTCTTTTTCTTCGCTGTGTAGCTCAAGTTCAGTGAGACTGGATAAGAGGACACCAGTGTCCTCGTGACACTTAAAGCGTCACCCGCATTTGTTGCATTCTCTGACATATTTTCTTTAGTTTACACTGTCTATCATTTCCTCATCAGTGTGGACAAAAAGCAAAAACCACCACCACCATGTTCCGCCCATTTGCTAAGGGTGATGTGCTGTATTAGTTTCTCACCCAACAGCATTTTGAATATAGGTTAGAAAGATCAATTTCCATCAAATTCGACCAGATGAAACTTTTTCCACATTTGCTTTTTCACTCTTCTGCATGGCCCGTGGCACATTTTGAAGGAGACTTTCTTTCAACAATGGCTTTCTATCCGCAGCTTTGTGGACAGCTTATCCCACCTGAGCTGTGGATCTCTGCAGCTCCTCCATTGTTAATATGGGCCTGTTGGCTGCATCTATGATCAAAGTCCTCTCTACTCATCCAGTCAGTTTATGTGGAAAAACCTGGTATTGGTAGATTTCTAGTTATCATAGTATTTTCATTTTTCGATCACACTAAATCCCAATAGAATACAATGCAATAACATGAACATTTTTGAGGAAGAAAAGTTAACGACTATCAGCACTTATTGACCCTCTGTGCAAGCTAGTGGAGCTGTTTTCCCCTTCATTTTTAATAGATTTTATTTTTACCGAAGGTTTGATCTGGTTATCAAAGGGCATTTAATATTGTTTGGAAGGTGGCCCTTCAAATCTGATAACCACTTTCATGTTTTCCTGTACAAAAGGTGAAAATGTGATTGAAATGGTGCCTGCAGATGTGCAAATGTTGTGGTTCAGGGGAAATAAAATGAACAAGTCTGACTCTAAAAAAGCACCACTTTCAATTGTTTTTTTTTTTGTTGTTGTTTTTTGTGTGTGTGTGTGTGTGTGTGTGTGTGTGTGTGTGTGTTTTTCCCTGGGAGCTAAAAGCATTGATTGTTCGAACTGAAACAGCCTTAAAAAGATGGATACACAGAGTTTGTGGTTAAATGAACCAAAGAACACTTGCTGAATAGAAAAGTTAGAAGTGGCTGAAGAGTTGCATAGGGGCGTATTTACTGAGAATGACATGAAATGTAACATAAATTAACTAATTGTTACAAAGATAAGCGAGTTTTAGAGGTTGCTACACCAGAATTTTGCATAAGACACAATATATTTAGCATTTATCACAAATTCCTCCTCAATCCTTTGCTTATAACCTGCAGCAGTTTTTAAATGTCACGGGGTAGGGAGCCTGTTAATTTATTACCTTTTATTCCTCTGGGCCTCCTTCTTATCCATTACGACCGGAACGCAGTTCGTCAGCTCGGTCCAGTCCGCGTGCAGCCCGCAGCTCCAGCCCGTGGAGAACCGGGAGAAGAGCCAGGACTCCTCTTTGCCCGGCCGGTGGCAGGTGCACTTCTTCTGGCCGGGCTTGCAGTCGCACGGCTGCTCCAAACGAATATTCCTCACCAGATGCCTGCCGAAGGTGGTCCCGCCGGTCTTCTGGATGTGCAGGAACACGATCACGTCGTCCCCTTTGATGTTGAACTCCACGTGTCTGTCCAGGTCTCTCTCGGTGAAGTTGAATTTGGACGGCACCTTCGGCGGACCGTCATCGTCCAGGTCGGAATCTCTGTAGAAGTCATCGGCGTCCTGATACGGGGAAGAAAGCAGGCTCACCCCTCTGAATCTCTCCTCGGACTTAAAGTGGCACGAATTGCTGCCCGCTGGACAAATGTACTGATAACCTATCATAACAAAAAGGACTGCCAAGATGGGAACCAAGATGAGCTTGCTGGATCTCTCATCCATTATATCTCAGGATAGTGTCTTCATTCCATTACTGTAAATAACAGGTATCACCCGGAGGCTGTTCGGACGGAGATCAGTATTCCTTCATTTCTTTTTTTTATTATTATTATTATTATTGTTAGTATTTAAAGCGCCACATGTTGATCACCCTCCTGACACGCGGGATGTGGACAGACGAAATGGCTTTTAAAATGATCCACGCCGTCTGCGCTGCGCTGCCTTGGGAATGTCCAGATTCAAGAGTCATGGCATGCAAATCTGTGGCTGTCCAACTTCTGAAGCCGCCGTGAAGCTGCATCTGCTCCGACCACTCCGATGAAATGGGGTAGGGGGGTGGGGAGGGAATAAAGAAACAAAGAGATCAGAGAGAGTTTTTAAGCTTCACTCTCTTTCACCTTTACAGACTCGGTTCTGCTCGGACAGCTGCATCCTGTCTGCACGGACCGGCTGAGACTCACTGACTGGCTCAGCTGAAAGCACTGCTTTTTGAGAGGATGCTGCTGCTGCTGCTGCTGCGTCTGAGCCGACAAATACGCGTTTTGCCCTCTTCGTGGATGGACTGGGAGAGAGCTCCACGGCTCATATCCCTATCCTATCCACCACATAATCTTGTTTTACAGAGAGCGAAGCCAGGAGCAGGATAGACGCAGACAAAATAGAGATTTAAACCCATATTTAATTAAATACCTAAACCCTATATGCAGTACAACTTCTCAAACACATTCATTCCACCTTTAAATGTTAAAACAGAAACATATCTATCAGAAAATCTTTTATTATTTCAAGTAAAATTAAAAATAAAGAAAAGGGCAAAATTTATTACTTATAAGACGGTGGCTTTGTATTGTATTCAGCCTCTCAAGTCAATACATTGACTGCTATTCTAGCCACCTGTCTTTCTGAAGAATGTCTCATCCAGGTTTGCACATGTGGAAACTGAAAATTTTCCATTCCTCTTTGCTAAAAAGCACCAGTGTGGATTGGGCAGAAAGTATCTGCAAACAGCAATTTTCACATATTTACTTGGCTGCAGTAAATAGCCAAGTTGAGTTTAGATCCAACAACACATAAAGAAGTTGTGATAAAAACCATAGTAGCTCTGGCTGCATGTTCTGGGTCAATAAACAGATCAAGGATGATTCTTTATTCCTGCCCGAATCCTTTCGCAGCCGTTAGCGGCTGTGTTATTAACGCTGCTCTATCTATCTGTGTGTCAGTCTGTCTGAGGTTGAGGAATGATTATTAGAGTAAGAGGAACTCCATCAGTGTCTTCTTGTGGGTTACAACAAGTGATGGAAACTGGCATATGTCCTCAGCTTTCTGCCTCTTCTTCCGTTTTGCCTCCCAGCTCCTTTGCCCCAGCATCACTCCTCTTCCTCTTCTTCTTCTTCTCTCTGGCTGTTCACCCGAAATCTTGGTCATTCCATTGTCAGACATGCAACATCAAAACCTTCAAGGTTTTTCAGAAAACTGGTTGATCATTGGTTGATCTAACGCTTCACACATTTACCTTTGTTGGAGAAACCCAGTATTCGCTTGGGAGAAAATCAGGACACATTTAGAAAAAAGAAAAAAAAATATGTAAATGTGTATATGCTTTCCATATTATGACAACTTGTTCAAGCCTCTAAGGCTTATACAACAAACATATGCTTAAATGTTGTGGAGGGTGAGGCTATTCAACAGAGACCCATATAATACATTTTGATCCGTAATACATAAGCAATCAAAAGTGTAAGAAAAAGCAGAGAATTATACATACTCACTTGAACTGATTGTACAAAAGCATTTGTAACCTGTTTACAGAAATGAGAAACGGCTTTTCGATGTGCATAAGCGACACAATGATTTGATGACTGAACAAGTAGTGAGAATTTCAATTGTGTTCTGAGAACTGCACCGAAGCGACTGAGAAAAACTCAAACGGAATCAAATTAGAACATTTGATTTTAAGGGAAATCGTGGTTGAAAATGAATACCTCCATCTGCTTTTTAAATGAATCTCGACCGCAGAGACAGAGGCAGCTCCTTCCACAGTCGAGGTGCACTGGCTTGGAAAGAGTAATTCCCTCAAGTTCTATCCGGTTTGCTAGTACATTTTAGTTTAAGACTTGGGAGCTCAAGTTGGAGAATGTGGCTTTATCAATTCAGTGAGGAAGGAGTTTATACGTGCATGGCCCTGAAAGTTAAAGTCAGGATTTAAAAATGAATTCTGAAAGGACTGAATAACAGGACAGATGTGAACTCTTCTTTTGCTCTTAACTGATTAAGAACATCTTGTTTTGAGTGATTTTCAGGAGACAATGATTTGTTTGAACAAAACACCTGATTCTTTTAAGTTTAGCTTCAGAGCTGGGTTTTAAAGTTCAGTCCGTGGCTTGGTCAAACGCTGCTCTCAGGGGGAATGTTCAAACACTCACACTGTGTATTTGGGGTAGTTTTCCTTGTGTGACTTTTAATTCTGTCCACATTTCAACCACCTAGTTGATAGTTGGATAAACCTGAGTCCTTCATGTTTCCAGTCTTTTTGAATCACTGGCTGTGAAACAAACTACCACCTTAATGCTACCATTGACTGTAAGACTACACAAACTACACCTTTAGAACAACCAGTTGTAACGTGTTGCTTTAACCATCTGGTTCCAAACTTTTATATTTACATATGAAAAGAAACAAGATAGGATGTTCAAAAACAACCCAGGAACCACCAAGACTCAAGTCTTGGAAATTTCTGGACCACCAGTCAAGCCAGTGATATAGTCAGCGACTGATGACGTCCCACTTAGGAAGAAAGCCTGTGATCCAAAATTGACACCTTCTTAGCTCGGTTAAAATTTGAAAACACCAACATAGAAGAACTGAATATTAATATAGTCAGAAATGTCAAAGCTTGAGCGTTTTGCCCACAATGACAAGAAAAAAGTTTTTGAAGAGACAAGGTCTTTGCTTTATACCTAAAAAAAAACACCGTTACCAACTGGTGCACTGCACAAAGTGGCTGGAACCTCCAATTCTGTAGCTTTTCCTCAAATTAAAAATAAAATACTTAAATCTATTTGTATAACTTTACAACTTGTGCAAACAATTACATAAATAAAAAAAAAATCATTAATTTTATTTTATTAATTTTTATTGAATTTCAATAAAGAATTCAAAACTCTCACCATAACATCAATCCGTCTGTCCGTCTGCTCATCCTTCTCTAAATTTTAAATGAACTTAATAAAATGAAATAAATTGCTTGTTTGAGAGACATCAGCAAAAACATCTCAATGATTCTCTCAGAAGAACATACTTGAATCAGACCATTAAGGTCATTTTTAGTTTAGAAATTATGGAACAGAAAGCACAAGCATGAAAGAGATGCAATTATTGTGAGCAAAGGAACTACAGCTAAAACTGTGTTTACAAGAGGTTGTCTGGTCCTTATTCTTATGTATTCATCTTTTTATCCCCCAATAAAATAAATAATTCTGTTCTGTTGTACTTATTTCAAACTTATGTTCAAAGACAGAGGTAATGCGCTTCCACTCAGACAGTCTGAAATAAATTCATGAACAATCATGAGTTGTCATTATGTTACTCTGATTTTTTTTTCTATCTGCAGATGAATCAATAGCATGAAAAACATTTCAATAATGAGGTAGTTTATGCATTTAATTCTCTTACTGACCCTGGAAGTGCAGAAAATGTTCATTCCAGCCATCTTTTCTACCTACTTGTTATTATTCGGGGACAGGGTTAATGAGTGCCTATACCTGTTGTCAATATGAAGGAGATGAGGAACATCCTATCCTAGACAAGTTGCCAGTTTGTAACAAAGCCAACATGTGACAAGCAAGACACTGATGTTTTTCAAACAACTTAGAATTTCCATCTTGGATGAGGATTGACAAGCAGTTCAATTCAATTCAATTCAATTCAATTCAATTCAATTCAATTCAATTCAATTCAATTCAGTTCAGTCAATGTCCCTCACTGAGCATAAAAAGATGAGATAGTCTTAAGAAGGGTGGCTTTTCCAGTTTGCAGGGTGAGGAAGAGAAAAGGCATGCTTACAAAACCAAAAACACAAAGCCACGAATGTATTTTTGAGAAAAACATAAATGGAATCAATAATTCAGAGCAACATCAGATGCCAACAATTACTCAGATCCTTAGTTGCAGAATCGAAGAGGTGGCTCAAGGATAGGCATTTTAGCCCTAAAAAGTTTGAAGTGGATTAAATGTGCGGATGGCGTATCTTCACTGGATATTTCCTTAGTTGCATTTGTAAGAAAGAAAATTTTGGAAGGATGCAATATTTTAAAAACGAAATATACAAAATTGAAGCACACAATTTGGTGCACATTCTGTGTAATGACAACATTCCAAAAACGGTGTTTTATCAATACTGCAAAATATTGTCTGCTGACTGAAAATTTCAGTTTAAATTATTTATTTTAAAATGTGCTTAGTTTAATTTTATTACTTTATAATTAATGTTTACAATGTTTAGATTCACAAAAATGTGACACTGAGTGTCTTAGAATCTCAATTTATATGTGCTACACTTAGTCGTTTAGTGCTCATGAGATGGGTCACAACATCCCCTGGTGTTTAGGGGAAAATTGTATGGAAACAAGCTTCAGTCTATTTAGCTGTCTGCCGCTGTGCCGGAATATTTCTCACATTTTCATAGGCTTTTATTTAATCATACATATACTATCAGATTTTGTAATGCTTTGAACTAATTAATTTTACGTGCTTGAAAATAACAGTGTGATATTTATTTTTTTTATTTGTTACATTGGTCTAAATACGAATAACGGTTTACGTGAGTAACGTACCACACAAGCCCAGTTCCTCGCTAGCCTTTTCCAGCTAGCTTCCCAAAATACCAACGTGAAGCCCCCTTGTTTGTATGGAAGCGGTCAGCATCACCAGCGAGGTGAGGCTTAGTATGTGTTTATGATCGATAATAGCAGTAACAGTCGTAAAGGGCACTGTAATAAGCGAAAATTGTTGTCTTTGTTCGTCAGTTTATTACTTTCAGAGTTAACGCTGCTCGTTTTCAGCCTGCAGCTGGGTAAACTTCACTCTGTTCCCTGAATGTAGGAGCCGTTATTTTACATTAAAGTATAACTCCATACATGTCACTAAACCTCGCTAGTGTTGATAAAAACCTACCACAGTCTTACTAAGTTTAAGTTTGTACACCTCACCGTGTTAGTAGTGTTTTCTTTTTTTGTTAGCTAATACTACTTGCAGTAACTACGTGGCACTGACAGACACTTTTTCATAGACTGACGAGCTGAGCCAACGGAGGTGTGTTTGCCCCCGTGACAATGGAGAAGGTTTTACTACTGTCACTGCTGCTGCTGAACATACATCAGGGTATAGCAGCTCCCAAAGGCGTCTCGGCCAGCCTC